GATCTATACTATTTCAAAGATGGAAAAACATGTTGCATCTCTTTCACCGACGTCTGTCTTCAATCATCTTCATCTGATCTCGCTAACACTAAAATTGGATTGAGACATTAGGACCCAAGAGAGAGATTTCATAACTGTAAACGAAAGAGAAATTCATGTTGGGTCGAAACTTGAAAGATATTAGAGGAGTGATGGTGTAAGATTTGTTACGGCTGTATATGAATAGGTGTAACGACCCAAACTCGAGGGTCCGAACCGTTAACCGGGTTCTTACCTGAACCCGAGGTCACCTATGTCAATATGTCATATCTAGAGTTAATACATCATTTTTAAGTCATGGTTATGCTTCACAAGGCTCTAAACAACTTCCCATGGCTCTAGATGGATTATACCGGAGAAAAGAACAAAAATAAACCAAGCCACAACAGTTTGGTCGACTGAAGTGGTGCTTCGGTCGGCCGAAGTCGACACTCCTGTACCGGTCGACTGAAGTAGTTATTTCGGTCGGTCGGTTTTGGTTTCAACAGTGAATGAGGCTACTAGAAGAACCGATCAGCCGAAACAGGCATTTTGGCCGGCCGAAATGGCTCTGCGAACTGGGTTTCAGGTACTGGAATGCTGCAATGGTGAAAATGAAGAAAGGCTTTGATAAGAACCTTGAAATTTATCCAAACCTGTCCCAACACACTTTTAAAAAATGATATTACATTGTCTTTACATTTAATTCAATTTACAACGAAATACTATCAAGGATTCAAAGTTACATTACAAGGCCATATTCTATAACTTGTACATCTCAAAATGATATTTTTACAAAGAAACGGATTCAAAATACAAAGGGTACAAAACATTCTTCTAAATTCCCCCCCCCCCCCCCCCTGCTTATTGTGGTTGGTCATCCGCCATCTCCTTTCCGTGTCCTGAAGAATGTTAAAATGATAGGGTGAGTATAAAGCTCAGTAGGGAGTACCTAAAATGCACCCCTTAACGATCCCGTGAATCCAAACAAAGAACGGCACATAAAAAAGGGGTCATATTCATTTTGGGAAAGATTAAATATACCATCACATATCTTTCCATACAATCCATATATAATGAGTGTAATGCTATGCAAATCTAAGAGATGAAATGTCACTCCCATTTCCAAGTCTTTTTCCTAAACAATTCACCTTTCTTTCTAAGAACACTTTCCCTTCTTTTCCAAAACAATTTTCCCTTCTTTTTCCAAAACAATATTCACTTTCCTTACCCCATGCTAATGCATGAATGTATATGCAATTCAATGTTATGAATGTCCATGCTTTTGAACTTTAATAACACAACAAGCTTAGAGAAGAATTCAACACTACAAGTAAGAAAATATTGTCACTTAACGAACAAAGCATTTTACTCAAAAACATCATGGTACAACATACATTGAACACCAATTTTCACAACAACTCACATAATCACAACATTCAACACTTTTCATTACATATTACATGGAGATCATGTTTAAAATTTATAAAATAAGCATGTTAAATCATAATTAGGAGAGCAATTCACAAAAATCCAAGTAGTACTTGCAGTTTAGAAATCCTTACCTCCAATTTGTAGAAAAGCCCCAAAAATCCCTAGATTTGTGAAAATCAAAAGGTTGGCCAAACAAGGAATTGCTTCTATCAAATGGACGGCCTCGACGAGCTCTCCGATTTACTGCAAACGGCACCAACAAATTCCCACAAATGAGGGAGAAATTAAAGCTTGAATTTAATGAAGAAAGAAAAAGAAAAATGAAGAAAAGAGAGGGGAAGAGAGCCTTACAGGAGAGAGAAGAAAATGAGAGGCCAAATGGCCTCTTGGCCACAAAATAAGAAGTGGTGGGTCCCACCACCACAAAAATATCTTTTTAATTTTAATTTTCCTCTACAAAGCTTATACATATGCACCAATTACATCATAACCACAATTTTAGCATTTAGACAATTAACTTATGCACAAACTAATCATCCATAAAATGTAATGGACCCGTGATACAACTCCTGTACACAACAATTTCGGTAGCGAGTCCTACCCGGGACTTTCCAGTCAGGAAAACAAAAAAATGTTTAAATGGCAACCCTTACATTTCAAAAAGTTCTGGATTCAATGAAACACCCTAACCAACTATTGAATACACCCGACACACCACACGGTGTCCAGTATGCAAAACGAGAAAAGACAAAAATACCCTCGCAAAATTGAAAAATTTCAGAAAATAGAAAAAGGGAAAAACCGGTAACATTACAATAGGATTTCATCCCAGAGATTTCAGAGATTTGGAGATTGTGGCCGAGTAGAAAAGAAGAAACAATGTTGTGCGATCTGTGAGGATGCAATGGTTAAGGTTCACAAATGTAATCCAACGGTGATATAAAGATAAGGCTGTGCTTTAACCAAAAAAAAATATAAGTGGGGTTGGGCCTAAAGTTAAATAAAGTTGGGCTTACAAACTTATATGATGTTTGGACTGGGTTTATATCTAATGGGTTAATTGTTATATAAAATTTCAAAAAATAAAATAAAAATAAGCCCTTTAATAAATGAGTTTGTTCATAAGCCTAACGAGCCGAGCTCAACATTGTTCAAGCTCGGCTCGTTTACTAAACGAGCCCAAAAATTTGTTCAATTTCGGCTCGTTTACTTGACGAACGAGCCCAAGCTGAGTTTTTAACGAGTCGAGCCCGAGCTGTTCATGAACCGAACAGTTCGGTTCATTTGCAGCCCTATGTGAGAGGTTTAGAGAGAGAAAGAGAAGAGAAAAAGATGTAAGGGGTTTAAGGGTGAGTGTTGTGAAAAGAGGAGAGAGTATATATATGTAATTCCCAAGTATATACATGTAGTCTCAAAAGAGATGATGAGTGAGTGAGTTTTGACATGTGATTGTATATTCTCTTTCTTGATTCATAATAGTGAAATCTCTCTCTCCCATAGATACAACACTAGAGTTGTTTGAACCATGTAAAATATTGTGTTGTACGTGAATGTGTGTGATTGTTATATCCATATATACTTGTGTTGATGTGATGTGATGATATTTCCATTGTGTGTGATGATGGAGTGATTTAACCTTCAACAACAGTTGACCGTTTAGTGGGTTGGAGGGAGTCAATTTTTCCTTAACAAAGTCCTTGTGCAATAGAGCAATATAACAAGTTGGATTTGCAAAATTGAGATTTGGTGTATATTATTTATCAGACTCCACACTATCCATTGCATAGACTTGAATTCTAGACTTTTAGTTTTGTAAAGTAAGAAAGCACAACTAGGCTACAATCAGTTATCCTACACTAGAACAATTAGCACATATGAAGTATTATTTACAAGGAGGGCCAACAAGTGAAATTGTTACAATTATAAAAATGGCATAAATGGTTAATTTACATGCTTCCCAACTATACACACACACACATATATTAATGCATTTTGGGTGAAGATCATCTATTTCCACTATAAGGTTCAGTGAAGCATAACTCACGTACTAACATATTTTTTTGCAGAGAAAAGGATGCACATAAAAATGGTACATGAAGATGTTTATCAAGAAAAGAAAAAATTGAATGAGAAAGGGACGTTTGAAGGCCAATAATAACATGCTCTGTAAAAAACTTGAGTAATTCAAATCTCTTTTTTCTCCTTGGTTAGTAACTTATTAATGGAGGATAAAAATAGTATATTTTACATCTCTCTTTTGTTTAATAATGTGATGGAGCAATCTTACTTAAAAATACTTGTGGACTTTTCAGTTATTAGGTCGGAAAAACAAAATGAACAAAAAGATGAGATATTAAAATTTTTATCCAATTTTTTTTATCGAACCATCAGGTACCTCATAACTAAAACTAATTACCCACTATACTTAGCACATGCATTATTTTTTACATTATCTTGGGTTTTAGGTACAAAGCCACGTCTAGCAGATTTTGATGCTTGTACCACGATAATTCCAACTCGTGGACCTCGTGGTATGGGGTTGTCCTTGTACCTAACATTTATGTGTTGATTAATAACTCAATTTAATGCTAAATTGGTTAAACATTATTTGATAATATTATTTGAATATCACATAAAATGATAAATATCACTTAAAATAATATAAAATTTTAAGCGATATAAACTTCACTTATCACTAAATGTTTTACATTGAAAATTTAAAAAATATCAAATATATATTTATTTTTTAATTACCATTTTAAAACTCCACCAAGTAAAATTTCACTCTTAACAAATTTTCATACTTAATTTCTAGTTTTATCAAACAATACCTTAGTTTTACTATTCTTTACATTATTAACTTAAATTAGTTTGCATTATACATCATCACACAAGTACGGAGCACTAAAACAAAAAAGTCAAAAATAGATCAAGGGAATCATAAGTATATCATGAAAACAAATTAAACATTTGTTTATATTTATATTGACAAGGGAATTGATGAACTAATGTAAGCGACAAAGGACTAACTGTATGATTGTCTTGTCATTGTAGAGTTTAGAAAGGGCATGATATATGTACGCAATCTTATATTTCTCGTTTCAATCCCTTAACCTATAGATTTTAGGTCATAATAAAACAACCTTAGTTTTATGCCGATGCTCACCCTCTTTTTTGAAAAAATAATAATAATAAGTTTTTCTTTTTACAAATGAGCCTTTTTTAGTCATTTTATCAAAAAAAATAATAAAAATAATAATAATAATAATTAAAAAAAAAAAAAAAAAAAGACATGCTTGGGAATTAGTCTTGAGTGGTGGGGTGGTTTGGTCTGTTTCAAAATTACAAGGGCGTTTAAGTCATTTACTGTAGCACTGGCGCCGCCAACAGTATACTTGGAAAGAGCAACACCAGTTCTTATTATATCGGACAAAAGTCAATCTAAGTGTTGCACCAACCTATCAGAAATCGACAACACATTCTTAAAATCAACCTGGTTTTACAACACCACCCATCTTCAACAGTAGTGGTTTCACATCCCATTTTATGTGTGTAAATGCTTTTGGAGACAAAAACAAGTCCCATCTCACAACAATCTTCACTAAATGGAAACAACAAGCAGAATCCAATTATATAATTCTCTGATCGAATACTCACTCTCTCTCTCTCTCTCTTTCTAGCAAGGAATTAAGGGTTTCACTATTTTGTTTTTCCATTCTTGGAACTGGGTTTTGTTTGGTTTCTGGGAAAGAGAGAAAATTTTAAGATGGGGAGAGGAAAGGTGCAGATGAAGAGGATAGAGAACAAGATCAACAGGCAAGTCACCTTCTCCAAGAGGAGGGGTGGGTTGCTGAAGAAAGCTCATGAGATCTCAGTGTTGTGTGATGCAGAGGTTGCTTTGATTGTCTTCTCCACCAAAGGAAAGCTCTTTGAGTACTCCACAGATTCTTGGTAAAATCTCTCTCTCTCTCTCTCTCTATATATATATATATACACACACACACACACACATATAAGAGTAATTATATTGTTTTTTTATATGTATTGATCTTGTAATGAAAATCAATTTTTGAGTTTTGGGTAAATATCTTCATGAGGGTTTTTATTTAATTATTTATTGATATTATTTTTATATGCTAGCTCCATGAAATCATGAAAGTACTCTTTAGTTCTATAAACTTCCTTTAATATTATATTTAAGCTTTAAATTAATGTTTCTTAATATTTTAGGATCAATTACTTCATGATATTATTTATTTTCTTGTTTAGAAGGAGATTTGGCCCATTTGGGTGCTATAGCAGTACTGGTGTTATATTTCAGGTTGTTAAATAGAATTCATGCAAGTCACTAATAGTTTATAGCATTTTTTTCTTTTTCTTTTAAACTTTTGGGTATTATTAAAATGGTACTATTTAATATATCTTTAACGTGTCTCAATCGGAATATAATCTAGAGGTTCTTAATGATAAGTATGAGTTTGAACTGAAGTTCCAAACAAAAATCAGTGGGAATTAAACCTGGTCAGTTGGTCATTATTTCTGAGAGAGAAAGTGATTTCTTGTACTTGGCTCTTCAGGTAGCAGTTATTTTGTCTGATCTTTTGATGTTATTAATGCCCTAGAATGGGGTGCTACTTTTAAGAGGAAAATTTAAAACAAAATTTATGTTATATGGAATAAATATTAATTCAAATTTAAGGGTAATAATATAGACCACAAATATTTGCATCCTAGCTTTCAGGAAGTGGCATAAACTATTTTCACATCTCACCTCATCTTTAACATTAATAAAACAATAATGATGTGGTAAACATTCTAGTGGTTGTTTCTTGACCTCATCAACTCTAAATTCCAAATCTATATGACAATAATTATATAATTATAATGTTAAATATTAATGAATGAACAAATGAGTACTGGTTTTATGTTCTTGTAGACATTCCCAGTTTTCCTACAAATCAATTTTGAATTTTTTTTTCCTTTGAAGTTATGGAGGTTTCACAAAGAGTTCTTTTTTGTTTTCAATTCTCTAAAGTTGAATACAATGACCATTCAAGAATTCTTTATACTCCAAATAACCAGTGTGTTGAATTAAAAGGAACTCTAGAGCCCTTATTGTGTTAATTCTTCACTTTCCAACAAAAAGACTATATATATATATATATATATATATATATATATATATGTATCGGTTCAAAAAATTAATTTGGCATTGAGTTTGAGGGGAAAAGCTTGAAACCCTTATATGGTTTCATTTTCTTGTAATATCAGAAGAGAAAATTCCATCCTACATGCAGGTCATAATGAGCAAATGATATGAGGTGAACTTTAATTTATTTCCTTGTCCAGTTCCACTTTTTTCCTCTTTCCACCATAAACTTGTTTTTCTCCACTGGAATCAAAGTTGCACGAAGGGAGTATCCTGATTCTAACCATCTTTGCGGATCGCGGTAGGAAACACAAATGTTCACACTAGGACAGGAAAACAAAAGCAAAGAGGTAGAAGCTTAAGATACATGACAAGTTGATAGTAGATGCAAAATCATGGGAGAGTTGATCAACATTATTATCAAATTTATTTTTGAGTAGAAACTGTGCCTTATTCCAAATGTTTACAAGTTATACATACTGCAAATAACATTGAAATTCCACCAATCTCATTCCAACCAAAGAAGTCGATCACAACAAAGAAGCAGCTTATCGCTGAAAACATAAAAGGAGATCCTAAGCAAAATCAGAGATTTTGAATGCAAATCTTCCAACAAAGCTTGATTGGTACCTCCAGTCAAATAAAAGGGGATGATGAATAGAACTTGGTTTGTAACTTTGAAAACAGTTCTCAAGAACTCAGAAAACAAAAAACTACTATCAGAGAACAATCTTTTACAATTTTCTAAAAAGAGATATTTTTATAATTGGGTTCTCAGAAAACTGAATCAAACAGAGTTTTTGTACAGTTTTCAGTTTTTAATTTTTTGAGAAAAGAAAAATGTTTTTATAGTTACAAACCAAATTTATTTGTTTATTTATTTTTCTGTGTCTTGAAATCTTCACCTGAATCTTGGTAATTATGATCCAAAGTCATAGAGAACAAGGAGACTAATGAGATGGTGAATACTTCCTTTCACACACTTAACAATACTAACACTTGTACCTGGAGTTGGTTTTGGTGAATCCTAAATGGAGAGATGTTGACGATGGAATATGTACCTGATAGAAGGATTAGTAGAGTAGTGTCATTACCAAAGTTGGTTTCTCTGAACTTTTGACATAGTTTTTACTTATCTAAGAAAAGTCATAAACGGAATTGAAGAATAAGTTGATAAAGAAGGTATGGAAATGATTTGTGAGTTGTACGCAGCAGAATGGTTGTGGATTAATATAATATGGATAAATAATATAGAATGGTGGTTAATAGGTTTTACTTGCTCCTTTAACCAATTTTTACTTATTTTAATTTTACCGAAATAAAACTAAAATCAAATCCACAAAGCAAAAATATAGTACAAGTAAAGTAAATAAAGTTTGAGAAATGACACTAGGATTTTTAGCGAAGAAACCCCAATTAATAAAATAGACTAATTGTTGAGGGAAAAACCTCGTGTATTGTGCAGCCTAGAGTAAAACGATCCACTATGTTTGAAGCAAAGTACACTGAACTTTAATTTAGGCTTATACCCTATCGTTCTACTAAAAACCAATCGCTGATAATCCCTGGCTTTGCGACTCCCCTATCCAATAGTTCTCAACCTCAGGCTTACTCTTAATCTCTGTAAAAGAGTTGCAGGTAAATCAAACAACACTCCACAAATACTTTGACCCCTTCAAAGTGTGATCGCTTCACCCCTTTTCTTCAAGATCTGAATTTGATGAAGAATGAATAGATCTACTTTTCTGAATCTTTGAATATTCAATTATGCTTCAATTTCGATGAGATAGAGAACAATACTACTAAATCACTCTTGTGTTTATGTGTGTGCTCTCAAAAATAAAATTAGAAAAATTAGATTTGATTTTTTGAAAAATATCTCTCAAAAAGGCTTTATCAAAATAATAAATTTTTGTTCCTAGAAGCCATGGAATCCTAGCTAATTTAGAAAACATGTTTTTATAGATTTTTAAAAACCTAGATATGCTTGGAAAATAAGGTAAATTTGTGCATAGAATTTTGGAAGGAAGTCTAGACCAAAAAGGAATCAAAACAGACCAGAAAAGTAAGTTACCAAAACCAATCAGAAGACCTTGAAACGGTTCAGGAAAGTAGAACCGGTTCAAGATGGCCTATGTACAAATCGAAGAATCCTTTTGATTCTTGAACTAGTTCAGGATTGTTGAACCAGTTCAAGATGGCCAGTCTTGAAAACCTCCAAAAAGTCTCAGATTTTGAATCTGTTTAAAAATTCTTGAACTAGTTCAAGATAGGCAGAATATAGAATCTTCCTAAAAATTGTGTTTTAACCTTCCAAAACTTCCTAAGTGTTCTCACACACTCATATGCCTTTCTAAAGCATTGTTTTCCTCATCTCGGAGTGTGTTAAAGTATGAACACTTGAACTTCTTCAAATCTGCATCCAATCTTCGATCTTGAAATTTTGAATCAAAATATTACAACTCGATCGGACTTGTTTTGACAAAGAAATTAGCCAATACAAAATATATATTTTTCACAATCTCTCCAAAATATATATATATATATATATATATATATATATATATATATATATATATTTCACAATCTCCCCCTTTGGCAATTTCGTGACAAAATTTTAAAAATAATATGTAATCTACCCAAGCAGAAAAAAAAAATTACAATGATTGTTAGAGAAATAAAACGCAGAACTTTTCTTAAACCACATGAAGCTTCAACACTTGTAGTATTTCCAACCTGTAATTTACATATCAGCTCAATAAAACTATCCATGAAACTTAATCATGAAAGATAAATAATAGCTGTCAATATGAATATATCAATGTATATGTCTCTCCTCAAGTCAAGAAACTCTCCCCCTCAAATATGCACACTTCTCCCCCTTTTTGTTACAAATTGACAAATAAAGCTCAACAAAAAAGGAAAAAAAAATAATAAGAGAGAATTAACAAGAAGAAAGACAAAAATATCTTCCATGTATACGATATAGCAAGAAGCACAACAACATGATGATATATAGTAGTAATGGAACCAAAGACAAGTATCCAAGATAACACATGTTTCATCCACAACATAAATAGAACCAATCATTCTCAAAATCACACACATGATATTTCTATTCAATCAAAAATGAAATTCCTAATAAAAACTAAAAGAAAAATCTTTTGGGATTTTTTAATTTATCTATTTTTCTGATATTTGAACAAAAATTATGAGATAGCAATTTTCATGAATTTTAAGCATACTTGAGATCCAAAAATTTCTGAACAATTTAAGATAATTTAAAAATAAGAAATTTTAGACACTACTAATTATTCAATCAAATCAATTCTCAAGCATGCAATCACAACATGAAATCCAACTTGCAATTTTTATAAAAATTTACAAATTCGCCTAATAAGTTCATATGTGTGTGTGTGCAAACCAACCTCATCAAATTTCAATCAAATCACATTGACGAACTATCTAAATTATATTTATCGAAAAATATCCAGATAAAATTGTTTTGAACAAATTTTACTAAGTAAGGCAGCTTTCACTCTAAAGAGTAAACAGCAATTCCACATTTCGACTTTTCCTTCTTTTTTTTTTTGTTCTTTTTTTTTTTACTCAATTAGCTCATCTTCAAAGTGTAGGAGTTTTTGACCTAATATCAATAGGTAGCCTTTTCCTTAACAAAGATTTTCACCACTCATTTTATTTTTCTTTTCTTTTCATGCTAAAAATTTTCATTTTTTTATTTTATTTTAAAACACATGTTTTTAAATTTTTTTTAAAATAATAACCTTTATAACTTATAGGA